GCCACCGCCGCAGCCGCCCGGCTCGTTCCCGCCACCACCGCGGCCACCCAGCTCGTTCCTGGCGTCGCCCCGGCCTGTGATGCTCCAGGTACGGCCCTCCCCCCTTACCTTCCGTTCCCTGCGGCGCTGCGTGTCGAGGCCGGGACGGAATACCCCGGGCCGCCGCAGCCAAGCGCGAGGGGGAACGCCAGACGCCTCGCGTGAAGGGGGGAGGCCTGGCGACGCTGCGCCCTGACGGGCGCTCAACGACAGGGCTAGGGAGGCCGAGACGGCCAGGGAGGAACAGCCAAAATGCCCCCTCGGCTTATACGCGGGTCACCAATTTTTCCCAGTTCTTTGTGGGAAAATCGGTCCCTCGGCTTATATTCGGGTCGACCTATACTCGAGTATATACGGGTAATATAGTAGCCAACGATCTATGCTCAAGAACATTATTAATAGAGCATAAACATAATTGCCTTCTCCACTCTTTCCTTTCTAGCAATTAGTTTTTAAGTTGTGCTGCTAATGAATGATTCAAGAGACAATATGCTGGATTATTCATGATTTTCAAAATCCTCTTTTCAACAGTTCTAAATTGGCAATTTAACAGATCTGATGGCAATTTATTTCCAAATTTAAACTCTAAGGAACTAATTCCTTTTAATACTTGTGTTCTTTCTGCATTCGTGCCATTAAATTATACCCATAAAGAAAATCTATCCTGTAGCCACATTTTCCGTAATATGCTTGATTTCATATATTTTTACCATTTTAACCTTTTCTATCTTTCAAAGAGGGAACATTCCAGATGCCATAGTGTTTCTTGTTCAAGAGCTGCTTCACCTCTGTTAACCCCTTAGGTGGTTCTGCTCCTCTCACAGCTCTACAGTCTCCCTTTAGAGGATCAGAAATATTCTTAATATTTTGAAGTATGATGCTGACATTTTTGACAGTGCCCATAAATTGAGATGATATTTTCATTTAGCTTAATGATCAGGATTCCAGGATCCCTTTCTCACTGCCATCTCAAATCTTATTAGCATCTACCCCAAATTTGAAAGTTTTGCTCTGTGCATCATTCAGTAACTGTACTGTAGTGTAGAGGAACTGATTTCCTTCCTGAGCCTTGTCAGGAAGATACCTTCTTGGCAATATCTTTTCGTCATCAAAATTGCTTCTGTTGCAAAATGCGCACTAAGTGAAATTCATATTTCTCAGTAGGGTGAACTGCAGACACAGGTTACATTTGGAGGAGGAACAAGAGGGAAAGTGAAGGGGCAGTGATTGGATAAAAGACTGACACCCCCCCCCCCTCATGCAGGACATGTGAATCAAGAGCTCCTTAATGCCCTCTGTATAATTGCCTGTTACTTGAAGCCCTGTTTAATCACCTCAGTCTTCCACTCCCTTTCTCCAGCCTCTTCCTGCAGAAAATGAGCAGTTGACCATGCAGCCAAAGGTTTCCCTCAACTTCCTTTGGGGAAAGAAGTATAGTATCTTTGTATCACTTTGGGGAAAGTGCTGTCCACTGTATTTCAGTGATACTAGATGTCTAGATTTTCACAGACATTGGCCCTTGGTTAAATTAAAGAGGATTTATGGTATTAACCTACCTTGTGAGCCATCAAGTAACTACAGGTACTCCTTGACCACAACCCCTCACTTAGCAACCATTCTAGGTTATGACGTACCTTCCTGGTGGTACTTACAATGGGGATCAAATTTTTGATGGTGAACCCCTCCCCCAGGTCTGTTCACATTAGCACACTTAGGGCGCTCAGTCAGCTTACATTTATGGCTGTTTGCAGTGTTCTGCACTCATGTACTATGTTTTATGGCGTTTTTGTTGAAAGTCAGTATTTACTTTTGATTTTCAGCAAAACCAGCCCATAGCAAACCACTTGTTTGCTTAAGGACTACCGCATAAAAGGTCATAAAATTAGGTTGGTCATGTAGGCGATCCAATTTACGACAATCACAAGTTTATGACCATGATGGCTCCATTAGGATTGGAACTCAAGAACCACCTATATACATAGGTTGGGCACACATATCCGCAAATTGGAATGTGATTGACCAGTTTATGAATCATTGTGCCATGTGTTATTGTGGCTACCCATGAAAACTCTGCCTGTGTCCTTGCTCTATAACCAGGTGCTATAAGTTCCATCCTTCTGCTTGGAATTTTAGATCCGAAGCCCAAAGCAAAATGGGCCAACACGTCCAATGCTACATTGCTGCACTTGCTGCTCATTCAACCAAGAGTTTTCGTCCTTCCCAGTGGATAAAAGAGTTCAGTGAAAGACAGTCCCTGAACAGAAACTGTCTCCGTCGCCAAAATCTCACCAGAGATCCCTACACACGGCAACTCAAGAACAGTGGATTTTTTGTTCACCAGCCTTGCCAGCGTCAGTATAATTACTGAGAGTGTTTTGCATTTTTCTCCCCAGAAATAATATTGGCTAACTATTGTGAGACAATGAAGGTGAGAACTGTCTTAGGATGCTCATGAGTTGTTTTTACACAATCACTGAGTGTTACAATTCAGTTGAAAACCACTTTGATTTCAGCGTCACAAAATGCCTTTTCAATGTTTGGTTGTAGCTGGTAAACATATATGCAGTATGTGTAGTAATGTTTGTGTGATTGTGCCTCTTTGCCTCCCTTTGTGAGACTTTATAAATTTTATTAGGTATGGATGGGTTTGTTTGTTTTTTATATTAGTATTTTACAGCCAAGATATAAGGCATCTTTCAGCCATCTTGTAGTTACAGAATTTCTCAGGGTCACCCATACACTTGCAATGATCTGTGTATACTGTAGATTGTCTTTTAAAATATTAACATAACCATCAAAATACAGTTGCCTGAATGGCATTATATTCCTAATATGGAATTTATTTTCTATGTAGCAGTAGAGGGAAGGTGAAGAGGAAAAATGTGTAACCTGATATCTTTCTACATAGCTTTCAAAATCTCTGGTTTAGTATGGTTTACTAGTTTCTTGTGCAAAGAAGGTATTTTGTACAATGTAACAGACCTACAAGTGAAGATCAGTGCGAACCAGGTTTTGAATATGTATTCCAGTCATCCTATTCTTAAATGATGGGGATGGTAGTCCAATATATCTAGCATCCAGTTTGGGAAAGACTACTTTGAAGAACAAAAGTAAACTTTTCATAAAAGCAGTGATAAGCCATGTTGATTCTTTGGGGGGAAATCCAAAATCTATTACTTGCTGATAGTTAAAGACCATTGAAATTTAACCCAACATTTTCTAGAACTCTCAATCAGGTAAGAAGCTACAAAAATGAAAGAGGGAGGATGTAAGAAAGTTCCAAAATTAGGCCAGATGTCTCAGGTTTGAGACTTCAAGTTTAAAGTCAGTCCCAAGATGACTATAGATTGAGTATAGATTCAGTGTTGTATTTTATTGGTTTCAGGTTACACCTGATCTCCACAGACAAAGGAGATGGTATGAAAACACAAAGATTATTAGTGTGGCAAAGAGCAGATAAAATGAAACATTCCTTCTTATTGTCAACAAAGCTAACGAATAATTTTTCTTGGTGCGTTGGTCTAAAGTCAGTTACTCAAAACAATGTAATGTTACTTAGTGACTATTTTACAACACAACATTTAATCAAAGGTTCTGGAAACCTATTGAGGTTAATAGAGCTGAAATGCACAAGTCTTCTGCCCTGGTTTGTTTGAATGATTGCCCGTGTGGGTGTTGCATTTTTTAAAATTCTGTTTTATTTAAATATGAGGTGTAGAATGTTTTTTCTCCAGGTTTTATTAATTGTGGTTAGGCCAAAAGCTGCACCTCCAATTTTGAACTGATTTATAAGCATGATCTGCCACATTTCAGTCCATTAGATTCGATCTACATCAGATTGATGAAAATTGTATTTTTTTTTTAAGAACTGCAATTCACAGCTGCCTTCTCAAAATACACTACGGGAATATAGTTTATAAAAGGAATGAATAATTGCTGAAGTAGAAATCTGAAATTTCTCTGCCTGTTGTTTCTTAGGCAACCTAAATTTGTCACTGTGTAACTATATTCCTCACTTAAGCTTAACTAACTTTTCCTTGTTATTCTAAAAAAAAAGATTCATGCTTTTATACAGACAATATTTGTCAAATACCCCAAAAGAAAAGTCCAAAGAATTACAAGCAATTTAAAACCACAGATGGCAAAGTCCAGTAGCTTTTTGTTTGTTTTCTGGTTGTCCCCACATTTTTGGGGGGCTACATATTTGAATTTGCCATTTGGCTTCCAGGATTCAGGAGAGATGTTTCTCTATTAAATTTCTGTGATTTGAATCTTGAATCCTGTCCCTCAATTTCTAAAAACTGCAAAGGCATTCCTTCTTTTAGTAGTCACTCAGGACCTCTTATTTGTCAAATTCACAGCACCATCACTGTATTTTTTTCTAAAACTCAGGAACCCTTTTCATGTTTGGCTTGGATTTTAAATGGATTAAGTGAAATAATGTACTGTACCAGCAAGTAACTCTTAGCCATCTTCATCTTTTTCCCCCCGAGAGAATATTGTATTCTCGTTGTCTACTTTTAGGAATTTTAAAATAAAGGCCACATTTATTTCTGAATTCCTGATTTAGCAAGAATTTGAAGTTAAGACTTCTAATTGAGAGGTACAGTTGCTATCTTTACTGGATAACTTGCTAGTGATGGGGAAATAGAAATACCTGCTTTTCAGTTTTTAATATTGGAAATAATGCTATGGTGAAAGGAATTTTTACACATACAACTTTAAGCCTGACTCTTTTCTTGTATATTTATATAGCTTGTTTTATTATGTGCCGAAACTATTAGAGTATTAGTATTTGTTGCTTTTCAAACAATGTGTGTTTTGTGGTTAGAATATGACTTTTTATATATCTGTATCTTTTTTTCACAAAAAACAAGTGTAATAACTTGTAAAAATGAAGGCCTAGTGCTGTGTTGAATGGTATTTCAATAACTTTGCTGGAACTGTTTTATACATATTATAAACAAAACTGTGCCTTTTCCAATGACTTGTACACACCAGACTTGAATTTGAAGATACAAAAAAGGGGCTTTCTGTTTGGATAAATACTGTATATCAGCCTATGCATTCTCAATGGCAGCTTGTTTGTGGAGCCATTTTCCTTGTATCTGTGGCAGAACTGTTGGTAAGCAAGATTTGGCCATCCTGTTGATACCATATACAGGTTACAGTATTTAACATTTCAAAATGATCAGAACCTGAATAGTACCCAGTTCTTATCCTGGAATGAAAAGGAAATATACCTTGTTACTTGTTACGTTATGAAATCCCATTGTCTAATGACAGTTGACTTTGATATAGTACCGTTTCCTTAATTGATTCGCCTATAGCAGGGAGCAGTGGAGTACCTTCAGAAGCGATGAGTTAGACTTCAGATTCATAGTTGTCTTTGGCCCTTGATCATGTTGGCTGGAGCTGAGGACTGTTGGAGTCCGAGCTGACCCATAAGGAGGGCATAATGTTGCCTGTCTTTCTGCTCCATCATAATCTGTAGTTCTGATCTTCACCAATGACATATCATTTGATAAAAACTCTTTGACTGCTGTGGGTGAGCAAGGAAGGTCATTTTTCTCATGCCATTCTAATGCTTAAACTTTTTGATTTTCCATTCCTTTAAAACTTAACCATTTTGCTTCTGCTTATTTATTCATTTACCAAACATACTTTATTGTCTTTATATTGGTGATAAGCGCAAAATGCTGCAAAACAGGCCCTTGTTAAAACAGGACATCAGACCTGTCACTCTTCAGATGGATTAAAAGGCGGCGGGGGGGGGACTTTTAACAAGATTTTAAAAGCTGTTCAAACTCAACCAGTTACTCAAGTTTGATGGATTTCTAGCCTGTTAATTTTCAGTTTCATTGTATAGTCTATTTCTTCCCATTCTTGTATCTCCATGTGAGCAATTAACTCTGGTCCAGAATAGGAATCTAATATAGGATAATTGAAAATGAATGACAAAAAGAAAATTGATTTCATCTGATTGTTTTTTCCACTCTTTTCATTTTGAAAATGCATGGGACTCATTTTTCATTCATTTTTACAATGATCTATTCCCATGAAGAAGACAAGTTTTGCAAAGTGACTGTATATTTCAGTGTGTATGCACAAAAAGATAATATTCCTATATTTAGAAAACCAGAGTGGTTAGTAGATGTTTTCAACACTGTCCCAATTTATTAGACTCAGAACACATAGTATAGACTTTACCCAAAGCAGGCACTATGTTTATGTCTACATACAGTACTGTGCTAGGCTAGGAGTAAGCAGTTTCTGGCCACATGTCTATCATGCCTCATTTGGGGTCTCTTTTAAGACTAGTTGCCAAAATCTGGTGGCTAGGTTTTTTGCTGAACAATACGATGGAATCAAAGCATTTATCTCCCAGTGGCTGCACACTTCCTTAAATGCATCCAAACCACTAAATCAGGGGTAGTCAACCTTGGCTCTTTTATGACTCGTGGACTTCAACTCCCAGAATTCCTGAGCCAGCAATTCCTGTGCTGGCTCAGGAATTCTGGGAGTTGAAGTCCACGAGTCATAAAAGAGCCAAGGTTGACTGCCCCTGCACTAAATCAACCAACAATTGGTTCAACAACTTTTGGCCATGTCCTGTCATGTGATGTTACATTAACAGAACCTCTCCTGTTCTTTCAGGATGATGTCTTAAGGTTGCTGCCTAAAGAAAAGTTGGATACCAGTGTGTTTGTTAATACTACAGTTTAGTCTGGCTTATCCTATGAAACAAATCCATTGGGCAGTTTAACATGTATGAATTGCTCAAATCTCACCTGGGGAAATTGGTGTCTTTTGAGTTTTCTTTGTAGGCTGTTTTTTTAAATTGATATATTAATGGTAAAATATTGGCCTGACTGTATTTTGACATATTATCAATGTAAATTGTTGCATTCTATTACACTCAAAGAATAGCCAGACCAGGAATTTTGTAATGAAGGCCTTGTTTCAGATCAGTTTCTCTCCCATCTGTTCTTTGTGTATGTTATATTTTGGGCAACAGCATCATTGTCATTTGGTCATGGTTTGGATTCCTTTGGGCTACAGTGCAGATCTATACTGCGCTGCAATTTCTTCTGTGAATTCATCACATTAACATTTTGCCAGTTGTGATAGAGGCACAGATATTTTCACATCTAATTTTCTGTCCTGCTTTATAAGGTAGCAATCTAACAGGTCAAATAAAAGGATTTAAGGGTCTCCAGAAAAAAAAGGGAAATTAATCATAGTAACCCATCTATATAACTTAAGTATTTTGTTTCATAATGTGCTCTGGAGAAACAGTCAATAAAAAGGCCAATTGATAAAAAGAGTTTTCAGAATCCAATGTTTGCTCTACATTAATCAGTTCTTTCTGTGTATGTGTGTGTGTGTGTGTGTGTGTGTGTGCGTGCGCACATGTCACTGCAAAATAACTGCAGTGACAAAATATTTACTGGAATGCTGTGGGGATAACCTCTGTGGGAGTGGAGCAGGCATAGATTACTCATCACACTTCAGATTTAACCCAATTTGCAAAACTCTATAAAGATTTAAAAGCTTGCTAGCTTTTTGTTGACTTCAATAAAGTTACATCAAGAATTGAAAAATCCTCCTTTAGTGATTCTGCACTGAGAAGTACCAAATGATCTCCTAAGATACCTCCCAACTGTGGTCTGTGATTAAATACCCTTTGTGTCTAAGGAGAATCCTGATACCAATTGCAATAGGTAAGGGAAATGTAATTGTGGAACAATTATTTTTATAGAGAAAGTTTCATCTCTGCAATTCTTTGCAGGGCTAGAAAAGTCTGAACCCCAAGACAGACATCAATGATGACAAATACCACCGAACTATTTACAATAGGTAAACCAGTGCTGTGACTTCAGCTGCTTGAGATCTTTAGTCTTTTTATTTCCCATCTCTTCTGAATCTGGTTTCAAATGCATCAAATTTGTAAAATATGTAAAAGTTTTGTAAAAATTATTTTGTACCTACTTGAACACAGAGCTTTGCATACAGGCATTTGTGGGTCAAACCAGCTAGCAGAGAACTGCCAGCTAATCAAGATTTGCCCTAAATAGACTAATCTTTTCCCTTGCTTCTATGCTCACCATCAAAGAAAATTTCCAGTGTCTTCAAAATTGCGGTGTATTGGGCTGCTTTTTTCTAAGCAAGCCATCATATTGCTGCAATAGGGCCTTGGGAGATGAGATGCACCCTTTCGGAAAATAAGGCAGATATGTTGGTGTTTCTGAAACAGCTGCCTAGAGAACGGTAATTCTTCATCAACCTATACAGAGCTATTGCAAAGGGATATTTTGAAATAATTTACAAGTACAAATCCCTGTTTACAGCATCATTTGATCACCAAGACTCATGTTGCACAGAACTGCAGCTTTTTCTGGAAGACCTTTCAGATAAGACTCCTTTTAAATATAAAATGTAGCGCAACTGTTAAAAAAGTTGATGGAATTCAGAGACAAGTACCAGAATGGCACTAACTTAACTGATTAATGAACTAACTTAAAATGTGCCCATTTTTTTTTTTAAATTAGGGACTGTGTCTGTTGCAAAACAACACAAAGGTATCTGTGTAGAAATCTGGTGTCAGCTCTCTCTGACTAATAACATTACTGCAGATATATATCTACATAGATAAATTGACATTTTATCTATGAAAAACAGAAAAATGTCATCCTGTTTTTTTCAAAAAATATTTGAAATTGAGTATAAGATACATTTTCCTTTGACTCCTGATGATTTCAAAGACATATTCTTACAGTTTCAAGGTTGAAGAACCTTTTTTATATTGCTTCTAGTGGAAGGAGCTATCTTCCAGTTTCTGCCCTGCCTTGCCTTGAGAATGTATCTGTTAATCATCAAAAACGTATTCAATCTCAGTTATTCATCATATCCATTTTACCACCTTTCCCCTTGGCACTTTTATTTTCCTTTCCTTACATTTTACTTAGCTCACAGAAACTCCATTGATCTTCCACCATTGCCACCAGGCAGATGTACATCATAAAATCAGATGAATTCTTCAACATCTGGGTCAAGCCAAGAAACTGGCCTTCTGTAGTATACCAACAGACCTTCTCATTTCTCTGCAACTCTATTCTGAACAAGTGCCAGCTGATTCTGCCAATGCTGAATTGCAGGTAACAAGTTGCATGACCCAGGAAGCCATTGGAAGGCCCTTATTGCTAAATGGCTTGGGCAACATAAGTCAACCAATGCTGCACTGTCCTTTACTAAGGAGACAACAGCCTCAGACTGTTTCAACTGGTTCTGCAGTGTAATTTCCACTTTGAAGTACTTCTGCCATCCTAGGGTTAATCAATTAACCTTTAGATATACCAGTGGTTTTTGTCTAGCTGTCCTAGGCTTTGATCACTTTAAAATGTTTGGGATTTTGCTTCCATGTATGACTCAGGAAGGCATATTTATGCAGTGGAGTATAAATTACTACATGAAATTACAACTCTTGATATTTAAAAAAAACATGTAAGTGTAACTGCTAGTTTGACAGATCGGTCATATGCTTATATTGTACTGGAACTAGAGGTGTGCTACCATCATGTTAGACAGCTGACTATCTAAAAAGAATAATGAGCAAGGGTGGGAGGAAACTGCCAGCAACTAGAAAATACAAAAACGAAAGGAAAATGAAAGACAAAGCCGATATCCACCTGCAAAATAGAACAATGAGCATCTGCCAGGAAAACAGTGCACTAGTAGCACTCTAACAGGATGTGGGGGAAGAAAAATTAAGATTTTTGGATTTTCAGATCAACTCATTAAGAAGAGATAAATTCCAAAGTTCAAGTCTAAAATTCTTCCCTATCCGAAGAAAATTGTCAGGAGGTGCAAAAGGAAATCGATGCCATTCCACTTCCTCCTTAATGCCGAATGACGCTCTGCGCTTCTGTACAGTCAACCCATCGGGTTTAACGGGGCTGGTTTCCAACAAAAGGTACAAAGTTTTGCAATGTTTTCTCCGAAGAAAATACTACAACCACCCTTTCTGTTTAGAGAAGCCCCGGTTGCAGTCCCCGCGTTGAAGGCAGAGCAGCGCTTCTTTTTTTTCCCCCAGTCACCCTTCAAACCGGCTGTGTTTACATTTTGCTGACAACTCCACGTTGCCGAGATTCTCTGCCTTCTCATTGGTTGGGGCGCGCCGCTTGACTCCACCCAGGGGCGGCGACAAAGCTCCAAACAAATCAGCGGGTCTCGCCGAAACCCGGGGAGCGTCGGGTTCCGCGGGCTCCCCGAGGCGGTGCTGCGCCTAATGGCCTTAACGCGGACTGGGGCCAGGGGGAACCCCGTATCTTGCACGTGGGAACGAGGAAAGGCCTTGGGAAAGGACGCGCGGGCCTTGCCTCGGGCAAACGGATCCGGCAAGGGGCTTCGTTTTATTCCCCGTGGGCTGCTTCCCCGGGTACAAATCTGGCATCTCACCACGTCTTTCCAGGGAGCCACAGACCCCCCCTTGGAGCTACCGGGCTGGCAGCACCAGGCGCCGCTGGCGAGCCGAGGGGGGTCAGCCCTACTGGGAGCCCGCTTGAAGCAGTGATGTCAGCGAAGCACATTTGGCGGGACTGGAAGGGGAAGGAGGACGCGCTGGTCGCCGGCAGCGACTGAACGGCGCGCTGTTGCGCAATCGCCGGCGTGTGTATGTGGGGGGCAATAAGCAGCCTGGAGCAGAACTCCTCCGGCTCGCGCTTCTTTCTGCGAAGCGGGTGCAGAAAGAGATCCCTCCCCCCAGCCCGTGGCTCCGGTTTTGAGAAGCAGCTTTCAAGTCTTCCTCTCCTCTACCTCCAAAGGAGACAGCAGCCCCAGACTAAGAGGGGCTCTTGTTGCTGGGGTGGGGGGAGCGGCCTTCCCTCGCGGGGGTAACCCCCCGGCCCTGGATGCGGGGTGAAGCGCACGGAGGACAAGGCGGGCGGGAGAATCCGCAGCCCGGGAACCGCAGGCGCGGACTGGAGGGGACGAGCCGGGAGCCAGGCCGGCGCATGCGCAGGCGTCGCCCATATAGAGCCTTGGCGCCGGCGCCAGCTGAGAACAGTTCAGTTCTGCGCGGCTGAAGCAGCTGAGGTGCGGTGCGGGGTCCTCGGGCGGGAAGGGGGGGAGGATGCCCGAGAGGGCGCGGGGGTTGCCCTGCCCGCCCCCCCCCCACGGTTTTCCTCCGCCACGCGAGGAAGCTCTGGTGGGGGAGCGGCTGTGGAGATGCTTTGGGGGGGGCTGTGCCCCAAGATTCTGAGGGGGGTCTTTAGGGGTGCACGGGGGGCATCCCCGAGCGATGGGCAGCGGGGCCGAGGCGCGAGGCTTCTCGCCAGGGGAGGAAGCCAGAAGGCGGGATGCACGCCCGCCCGCTTGCCGACTTGCATTTTGGAGGGAGAATGAGGCGGGGAGGGAGAAATAACGGGGATCCCCAGCCCATCCGACCTCGGGGAGCAGCTCGAAGGGTGTCGTGGCGGGAGAGAGGGTTGTCTGCCCCTCGGCTGGAAAAAAAAAGGGCTGCTTCTGGGTGGTTTCATCTCTCCCCTCCCCCCGAGGGAATCCCGAGAATGGCAAGAGGCGCTTTTTTTTTTTTTTTTAAGCGCTGGGGGTCTGGGGGGGGGTGTAGCCTTATCCGAAGTGGGGAGCTATGAGCCTTCGGTGTAGGGCAAACCCTAAGATAAGACGCGACTGGATCGGCCTGCCCTTTGCTGGAAGTGCCAGGTCTTTTTGGAGGGAGAGAGCCAAAGTCCCTCCCGCATTGCAAGAGGCTGGAGTGGGGGGGAGCCCGCCTGCCTGCCTGCCCGCCCGTTCATTTCCCGGGCTGCCCCAGCACTTACCCTTCTTTCACCCCCCCCAACCCAGATGGGGTGCCGGGCATGCGCGAAGGTGGAAGGCGCTTTCTCACCAGAAGGCGGGAGAGAGCCAGGGTTTTTTTTGGGGGGGGGGTCGTTTATCCTCCAAAATACCCCCCCCACCCCAAGTATTTGCCCGGGGATCGAAAGACCGGCTCTTGATCGGTGCCGTCCCGGGGTGGGGGAGAGAAGGGGAGGGATGGGTGTCCGGGTTTGCTCCTATTTGGAGGGAAACCTTAATGCAAAGAGTGGGGGAGGAATCGGGGCTCCTATGGTCCCGCTGGCATACTTCTGTCAAAAGTCCCTCTTCGACTATCGGGGTGCGACAAATGAAGCACTTTTTTTTTTTCCCCGAATAAGTAACTGAAGGCGGGAAAGGTTTCCTGTTCTCTGTGTGACTCTATTTAAAGGGGTGTTTCCACCCCACCCCGGTTCCCGCTTGTGATCTCCCCCCCCCCTTTCTAAATTTAGCAAGGCATTATTTCGCCCCACTCTTCGCCCTTCACTTGCATCCCCCCGGACCCAGCACCCCACGCCAGGCGGTCAGGAGTGGCGACAATCGGGACTCGGGAGAAAATTGGGAGGACGCTCAGAGAACGAAGCCTCCTGTTGCCGCCTTCTTCACTTACCCGCTCTCTGCAAATTGGCGCGGGGTTGTTAAGAGAGGAGAAATGGGGGCATTTTAAGAGCTCCTGCCTCCAGCTTGACAAGCAAAGGCTATAGAACAGAATCAGCCCCTTCCCGCCCAGCAGAAAGAAGGGGGGGGAATTGAAGTTTTGTTTTGTTTTGGGTTTCCTGAACAAGAGAAAACCACAATGTATCTGTTTATTGTCATAATGAGCCTATCATAATAAGGCTAAAATAAAGACCAGGAGTTGTACAGTAGTCGGTATGTATTTTTGTGCCTAGAAAAGTTTCAGATACAAACCCAGCTCCTAATGAAGGTACAGTTGTGCTAGTTCTTAAACTGCTAGGTTTTTCCAGTATATCCTATGTATCTGTATCACTTACTACTGGATTATAAAATTCTCACTTCATTGTAACTAGTACTGTACAAGGCTAAAATATTTGTAGTTGCTTTCGAGAAAAGAAACAGAAGGTGCCTCAAGCGGGATCTTTAAATATAGTACAAAATGGCTACTATGAGGCAATATATGGAAGTAGGCGAAATTGACTAGATGCAAAGATGGAAAGGTAACCTTTACTTCTAAGGGAGTAGACTAGTGTTTCTCAAATTTAGCAGCTTGAAAATATGTGGACTTAAACTCCCAGAATTCCCCAGCCAATAATTCTGGGAGCTGAAGTCGACACATCTTCAAGCTGGTATTGTTGAGAAATTCTGGTTTAGAGAAATCTGTTATCTTAGGTTGAGACAGTGTGCCAGTCTACCAATTCAATTTACCTGATTCAGGCATGCAGAATTCTTCCAGGATGAAACATGACTGCTGTGAACAGATTGCCCAATGAATTTTCTTTTCCAAGCCCAGGCTTTTCTGGAGAAAACAGGAGCCCGCCATTCTGTGGGGCACTTGCTTGTTCTGGAGGTACATTTCAGAACCTGGAATTCAGAAACATGTAAACTGGATGTGCCATAAATTTATGCATTGGTCTTTTGTTTGTTGCCCTTTATGTTATGTTATTGTAGCAAATCTTGGTGCAGTATGCAGCTCCCATGCATACATAGAGACAAGTTCCCCAACTAGTGGGGTGCAACAAATGAATCACTTTTTCAGAATAAGTAACTGAAGGCCATAATTTTCACAAGCTAGTGTTTGGTAGCAAAATTATGGCTTGAATTAACATCTGATCTTTTATTTGCAGGGAAATAATCTGGAATTTCAAATAAGATGTCCAGGCGAAGGTAATGATCACTTATATAATATACAGTACAATGCAGGTAAAGCAGTACACTCTTCTATGCCGCTGATGGAATAAAATATCTTTCCTTTCTGCAGTAGCCGTTTGCAAGCTAAACTGCATCAGCCATGCCAGATCACATCTCCAGAAGAACAGGTCCCATTGTCACTTCAGAACAGAAAAAGAAAGTCAATGCAGGTGGGTTGGAATTTTAAGAGTCACATATAGAAAAAAGATTATGTGTGAACTGGGGTGGCCTTATGCAAAGACCAGTGAATAATTCAATACAGTGGCATCTGTAGGGCAGACCAAGGGTAGGGGAAGAATGACAAAAACAGTATTGCCGCTTTTGTAAGCTCATTGTGATGTTGTGCATACATAAAAATGCAGCACTTGCAGCACAATGTTGCGATGCTGCTTTCATCATTCTGACAAAAGAAATACGCTCCTTTGGATGCAACTCATTTAACTCCCTGTGTGTGTGTGTGTGTGTGTGTGTGTATGGTATTCATATCTCAAGCATATGCCAAAGATCTACAAATACTAAAGGTCCAATTCATTAGTGCATTTATGCCTATTATTTTCCTGAGAAATCATGTTGGCTTAGATGGATATCTGTTCTCGCCTCCACCACAAAAATCTTGCAGGGTAGTTTGAGAAGATTAATTGTTCCAAACACACACATAAAATCTGATTGAGTGACCTTGAGTGCATTATCTTCCTGAATAAAATCTGACACCTTGACTATGACCCAGGGAAACCTCACGTTTGGCACTTGCATCACTTTGGTGGAAATATTTGATAGCATACAACAGAATCTCCTTTGCTTATTAAATATATAAAATTGACATTGATTGTTCAGCTGATAATAATCATGAAACAAAGTTGGATAAATATCAGGATCTGATAAATACTTTGAAAAACAAGCCATGCATTTATTGTTTTTGTCCTTGTGTCCCAATTGTTTGAGAAGCTCTTGATGAATCTGAAGAACTGGATATTAGTTCATTGCTGCTTAGGTATTAATGATTTTTGTTTGTTTTCCAAAGGACTCCAAGATAGATGAAGAAAATGTGGGATATCAATATGAAATTAAGGTATGGTTGATCTGTATAATACTGCTTTGAAATATAATTGAACTCCGGTCTTCAAAATGTGGTAATTTAGAAAGTATATGTGGACTCAATATAAGGGGAAGATTTTATTCACTCCTGTATTGGCAGAATCTAGTTTTAATAAACACATAAAAAGGGGATGCATGGCATGCTTTTAATGTTGTAATTTGTTTATGAAGACCATTTTTCACTATGGAAACATTGTATTTTAGTTCCCAGAATATAATTGCTTAGTTAAAATGAGTATGGGCTGATAACAAGCGCCAAAGCGCCTGAAGGCAGGACAAGGTGGAAACTAACCAAAGAGAGAAGCAACCTAGAACTAAGGAGAAATTTCCTGCCAGTTAGAACAATTAACCAGTGGAACAACCTGCTTCCAGAAGCGGTGAACGCGCCAACACTGGAAGTTTTTAAGAAGAAACTGGACAGCCATTTGTCCGAAATGGTATAGGGTTTCCTGCCTGAGCAGGGGGTTGGACTAGATGACCTCCAAGGTCCCTTCCAACTTTATTATTATTATTATTATTATTATTATTATTATTATTATTATTATTATTATTATTATTATTACATAACATGAATGACATAAATCTATATTAAAAATATGTTTTTCAAGGGTGGGATAAAGACATCGCTGTTTGTCAAAAAAAACTATCTGAAAACTATATTTTTATTATCTTGTTTTTAGAGCTGTTGGCCATCTACAATATCAGGCGGTGTATCGCCTTGCATAATAATAGAAACTCCACACAAAGAAAGTACAACCACAGACTTTTCCAGATTCAAAAAATACAGGTTTAGAAATCTCTTCATAAATCCATCACCTTTACCGGATCTTAGGTACGCTAGATGTATGGAAAATAATTTAAAATATTGCTGTGTATTGATATATTGATGGAGAAAATAGGATATTCCTTCAGAAAGCCTCATATACAGCTATACCTATACCTAAGCATTAAATGTGCTATCTAAAAAAAAGACACGTAGCATGCTACTTTCAAATACATGTTACTTAGATACAGTAGTTTCCTTAAATAGGCTTAAAGTAATGTCATCCTGCATTTGGACAATGTGCCTAACAATTCAGAGAGACTGATAAACCATGCTTGGGTGCAGCAATGCTTTGGCTAGCAACCAGTGGGTTCTGTGCAGAGCTGGGGAGGCAGAACTTGTTCCCTGCATAACTATTGTTAAGGAGGGTATATAAAGGGCTACACTTAACTTGCCTCCAATGATATATGGAACATATAAAGAACTCACCAGTTTAGCTGTTTCAAATGTTTTGGTCTTAGTCTAAGTGTTCTACATATTTTCAGAGGTAATGCTAAAATCTCAAATTTTGATGGACAAGTGCACCTTGGAATGCAATTGACTATTTGCCAGGAGAAAACTACCTGATTATAGTCATTTGAAGATCTTTCATTCCAGGAATAACACTAGAAAATAACAGCTGTATTTCCTCAATATGGTTGATGTACAGTCCTCCCCCACCCTCCACCCCCATTTTGAGAGGGAAAATGGGAGCTCTGAGCTCATATAACAGATGAACCATGTCTTCTTGTGACCTCTCCTCTCCTAAAGTATGAAATTGTCATAAAGTAATTTGTTTTGTTGTTAAAACTGACCAACATGAGTATTTTTGTGCCGGGGCTTCAAGTGTAAATAAAAACAGCTAACTGGTTTTTAAAATGTGGAACTTATTTTGGTATGGTTGCTGTGTAATAAACAGCCTATTTTTTTAAGCAGACAGTAGAATTTAGGATTACAAATTCTCAAAAGTCCAAGATAAGCTATAGTTTTGCATAGAATATGTGTTTTGATCACGTTCATGCTATTTTTTGTTTTCCACTTCTTTTGTAGATAACAATTTTCTGTGTTACAGTTTTGTCTGAAGTAAAATGTCTATGTTTCTTTTTCTACTGGCTTTTTTTTGTATTTATGAAACATACAGTATTGAAAACAACTAGGAAATACAATAAATAACATCATGGGAATTTCACAGCATTTAACAGAACCACTAATATGTTTTCTTTAAGAAATTAAACATAAACTGGGTTCACCAAACAGAAGCATTTAGTTTCAGAATCAAATACTTGTGGCAAAGCAAATTTGCAAATTTGTTTTTTTCTTTTATCTGAAACTCTTATTATTTATCTTGATTTTAGTTGGGGAAGTTCTAGAGATGTTTGGTTCAACATTCTCAAAAAAGAAAACAAATATTCTCACTGCAAACATTTCACATCACTACACTCAAATCTACAGCCACATATGAGATCAGTCCTCCTGGATTGGCTTCTAGAGGTAAGTATTGAAATAAGATTGTAAAATATCACTGAGGGAACAGCATAGTGCCCAAAAATCGTAAGCATTTAATTTGCTTACTTTTAACAATGTATATTTTCCTTGTTAAGTTAAAGCACCAGTTTTAAATTAAGGATTTAATATTACTTCTAGTTCTTCAGTAAATAATATTAAAAGAGAAACGTGTATTTTACGATCAAATCTGAAACATATCAGCCTTCTTCAATAAAGTAGTAAGAAAGATGTTTTACTAACTCCACCCACCTGTTTGCTTGACTTGTCTCCTTAAACTACATGCATCCGCAAATCATCTATAAAGGAATACTTGCAAGCTTGCAACTTTAAATGTTTCATGTATCAGAAGCCATTATATGATTGAGGAATCAAACCTACATGTATAGGATTTCATGTTACACACACACAGAGAGAGAGAGACACACAGAGACAGAGAGACCAAGGCAACAGAAAAGGCACTGTAATGACAACCTGGAAGGCTTATGGTATGGTTCCAGCCCCAGGTATGCTTACTTTGCATGTGAAGAATTATTAGAACAAAATCGATTAACTTCATTGAATCTTTTATTTAAATACAATTGATTAGAATTGCAATATTCTTCCTCATCCATATAAGACTAATCCAAGGACCATATGTAGGGGACAAATAGATTAAAGTCTTCCTTGGCTCAGCAGTTAAAGATGCTGAGCTTGTCAGCTGGAGAGTTGACAGCCTGAGCACCACACAACAGGATGAGTTTCTGCTCTTGCCCCAGGTCCTGCCCACCTAGCAGCTCAAATGCATGCAAATGCGAGTAGATAAATAGATACCACTTCAGTGGGAAGGCAACAGCGTTTTGTGTGCCTCGGCATATAGCCATGCTGGCCATGTAACCATGGAAATGTCTTCAGACAACACTGGTTCCCTCAGCTAGGAAACTGAGATGAGTACTGCCCACTAGAGTCAGGCATGACTGGACAGGGGAAACCTTTATCTTTTTATGAACAAAGGTCAATTATTTCAATTTTAAGCATTTTCTCTGATTTCATTTCATCTATTACTTATTGCCAGTATTTCTCTCTGTAATCTATAGTTCACATATTTTTACAGAGCTTTTCTTTTTTGTTGGGTTAGATAAACAACTTGCTTTATATAGAAAATATTCAATATTTTAATATATTCTGATCTTACCTCCGATAAGACATTATCTCAGATATACCAAGTTTTGTTATGCTTAAAGATAATTGAGTGTTCTGGGACAAATTGATTATTAATTTGTTATTGCTAGTCATGGTAGAATAATCTTATATACTATCCTATATTATGTGAAGACTGCTTTTAGATGATAGTCTAGTGATGCCAAATACCCAGAAAAATTATCAGAAATAATATGAATGTTTACTAGAAACATGGAAAATTTCCTAGTACTTTATCAATAGTGAAAACTAAAGTTTCTTATAGGAGGTTTCTAAGTATCCCCTAATTATGGATGCTATGACTGAGTGTTTTAAATACTGTAACTGCTTCAAATTTAAGAATATGTGTCGAATTTATCTGCACTTAGTAAATGTCAGGGGCAATGTAGACCTAACAAAAAGGGGTACAAAATTTTAAATTTGAAAGAAATTAGACATTCTTTAAAAATACTATATATTAGATTTTATTGTAAATATTTATTTTGGAAATTCTTCAGTGCCAAGCAAGAACTTTTTTTCCACCTTATTAATTTTGATTTAAAATTAAGGTCATGTAATATCAAAATGAAACTTTCACTGGCTATTCAGAATACTGTTTGCTATGTATTTCATTACAGGTATGTGAAGTATACACACTTCATAGAGAAACATTCTATTTGGCCCAAGACTTTTTTGATAGATTCATGTTGACTCAGAAGGACATAAATAAAACCATGCTCCAGCTTATAGGAATTACAACCCTGTTCATTTCTTCCAAGCTTGAGGTAAGTAGAGATATGTGATGCATTTCTACAGCTACTTGGTTATACTTAGTGTTGGGCTAGAATTGAGGACATCTTGTTTCCCCTCTACCTTCATCCATGAAAACTCACAAGATAATTTTCGGTCAGTCTTCCTCCCTTTGCCAGTCTTTTTCACTAGGAGATGAAGATGGAAATTCTTATGGAGATGAAAATGAAAGGAAATCCCAATTTAAATTGCCTTGAGCTCCCAGGAAATAGTATAGACTTTTAAAACTCTTTCCCTGAAGTTTTCAACCAGAAAAACTATTTCAGGCAATGGTATACCACTTTTGAAAATGTGCTTGTCTAGAAAACTGCATGTGCTTGTTTTATTTACGTATTACATTTTATCCCACCTTTATTACATCATAAGTAACTCCTTCCTTCTGTTTTCCTCACAACAACAACCTTGTGAGGTGGTTTGGGCTGAGAGTGAATGGCTGGCCCAAAATCACTCAGCTGACTTTCGTGCCTAAAGTGGGACTAAAATTCAGTCTCCTGGTTTCCAAGTCAGCACTTCAATCATTACATCACAGTGACTCCAGTTTGTTCTTGGAGTTACCAGGAGTAAAATAAAGGCAAGTAAGCAAAATAATCAAAAAGGCCTTGAATTTCTAATATTCAGTCAAATAAAAGCTGTAAGGCCTAATCCCCCATACATAGCTCACATACCTTGCAAAATCTAATCCTGTTATGAAAGTTGAGGAAGTATTGGATAGATTTGGTTACCAAGTAGGAAACAGAGTTTCTGCAGCTAATCTTTTAGAAGTTTGATGGGCTCATATAAGTATGATTAGGTTTGAGATCAGATGAAATAATCTCTTCTGGAAAAAAAAGTATTTCAGGAAACTTCCTGAAAATATCCAAATGAGTCCCCTTTCATAGGCTGTAGGGACATTTCTGATCTACACTCACTAAAAACAAAGCACTTATGGTCAGCTTTTAAGATCTCCTGTTAATTCCCTGCCCTTTTTTTTGGCATTTGGGAAGATAAATGCATGTGAAACATAACTACCATGTCATTTTACTCAGTATGTGGAAACTCATTTAAGTTAAATAATTGAGATTTCTAAAGATTTGGAAAGCTGATGCAGTTTAGGAATAGATATCCTAGCATAGCCGACAGTTATTTGTAGATTGATTTTTTTTATTTTGCAAGATTAAGGCAGTTTTGAACCAGAGACAGGAGAATTATCAGTGGATTTCTGATATATTTGGGATTGCATAGATACTCAATAGATTGTATCTATGTAGCCAATTATGTTTCCTGTGGTAAATAAAAAAAATCAGTAGTTGAATTGAGCTTCAAGATGTAAAATTAAAATATATATTTGTATTGCATAGGGATGTAGAAAACTGATCATCAGTTCTGCAAAGTCTGTTTTAACACTGTTTCTTCTTTTTTTAAGGAGATATATGCTCCTAAACTGCAGGAGTTTGCCTATGTTACCGATGGTGCTTGCAGTGAAGATGACATTATAAGAATGGAACTAATTATATTAAAGGTAACAAAACTGGGATATTATCAATTTGAACTCTTCCTTCTGGAACTGATATACTAGAAATTAATTTACCAACCTCTTATCTGAACTGTTTTTAAATACTGCTTTATAAATGCTATGTCTTAATTCTTGCCTTAAAGTTCTACGTATATTACTAATCATCTGGGAAACATTCTCCTTAAAGGAAAAGTGAGTTATTTTAAGCTCAGTTATTTCTTTCCAGCATAATAGTTGATGGAAGAAAATTCTAACTGCCTTACTGAGGCAAAGAAGAATTAGGACTAGGAATTGCTCATGCTAGTGGTCTGATTTAACAAATAGCTATATATAAATGAGTATATGAAGCTGGAACAACTTTTGCGTTTGAGATTACTCACATTAGCCTTATCACAGAATGTTTTGTTTGGCTTGCTCAGAATGGGATCTCTTCAGCTTTCGGAATGCTGTAGGATTTGACAGAAATTACCATTTTTTTTTTCAGGCTAAGAGATGTCCTTAGCTTTTGAGTAGAATTCTGGAGTCATACTCCTAAATGTAGCTGAGGTTAGACAAACAAATAAATAAACCAAACACAAAACTTGATTGTGTGATTTAACTGAATAGTTAAATCCCCGTATATTTAATAATATTCCCATGACCTTACACTCAATTATGAATCTGTGGTAGGTTTCAGGGGGAATTTAGAGACTTTGGAGGTCTCACGAAGATCTAGAATTTCAGATTGTGCACCTGGCCTATGCAAAATGCTTTGATTTGAATGTTCATCCCTTCCACTAACTTTACACATTGAAAAATTAGCATGTTGTTAAATATGAAAATAAGAACATATCAATGAAATAATAAAGAATGCTATCTCTTCTGCTGCTTGTGAGAATAAAATAATGAAAGCTTATTTACTTAGAGAATATCTGTTGTGGAGAATATCTGAAAGCTAAACCACTTCAATAGACAGCCCTGTAAACATTATGTTTAAATATTGTAGGCTCTTAAGTGGGAGTTGTGCCCAGTGACAGTAATCTCCTGGCTGAATCTTTATCTTCAAGTGGATGCAGTGAAGGATGTTCCCAAAGTGCTGCTACCTCAATATTCTCAGGACAAATTTATTGAAATAGCACAGGTGGGTTTCTGTTTTAGCATGCAAGCCATGTAAACCTGGAAGAACAATTGATATTACTGACAGTAAAACTATTGTCCTTTTAGTTTTAGATAGCATTAGGAATGCAGGGCAGGAAGCCATAATCTGGAATTGCTTTATGTTCTTACCTATGAAGTTTTCCCCGCTTATCAATCAATCAGAATAGAGCTGGAAGGGACCTTGGAGGTCTTCTAGTCCAGTCCCCTGCCCAAGCCTATACCATTTCAGACAAGTGGCAGTCCAGTTGCATCTCTACTTCATTGTATGATTTCTAATGTGTTGTTCTTTGGGGATAAGAAACATTGCTTTCTTTGGAATTGTTTTAGACACCTAATTTTTAAAAAAACTGTATTCTAAAGAGATTTTACAACAGTCAACAGTTGTAAACGTTTTTTTAAAATGTATAATGTATTGAATTCTTGTAGTGTAGATGCAAAGAAGGACTAGTTTTAACATTTTTTGAAATGTGACAAAGAAGCCTATAGATAGCATCACCCGAGTGTTAATCTCCATGTATTAAGCCAGCTATAATTGTAACTCATAAATATATAAATATTAACTGGTAGATTTTTGTTTCATTTGCATAAGATACGCAAATGTTCTTGACTTAATAAAAACAAATGAATCCCCATCCAAAAGAAGAAAGCTGGGAGACATATTTATACTAAGTTAGTTAAGGTTCTAAAAACAAAACTTTTGGCTCAAAATTCCTTAATTCTGCATTTATGCCTTGATCGCTGGATTTCAGTCAAAGAGCAGAAAAGACCCTGCAAGTCTGAAATCTGTTTGACCTTGAAGTAGCACTTAGCTAGGTTTTCACTTAATGCAGATGCATAATTTATTTAATTCAGTAAACTGAATCTAGATAGATCTACTAAAGGCCAATAAAATAGATAACTGGATAAAAATCTAAGCCTGCAAACCAAATTGCAGACTGCTGTAGGCAGGAAAGCAAAATACTCAATTGACTGGGCTTTGAAGTATGAAAGTCCTGAGCCATAATCAGCTGCTGTCTGTGCGCAGCTTCAGTGTATAAAAAGGCAATTACTATCAGCTTTGCATGAGAAATGAACACAGATTGGGAGGCACATAACAAATATAGGCTATGAGTCAGATGCAGATCTAATGAGCCAGTAAGTCGCAGTGCTTCTAATATAAGAATTGTGGGAAAGATATTGTAAATTTTATACCGAACTTATACTGAGCAACAATTGATGCATTGTTATACTTGTAAAGTTCTTTCTAATGATATGTATGTCATTCCACAGCTTTTAGATCTCTGTATTCTAGATGTCAATTCTTTGGATTTCCAGTATAGGATATTGGCAGCTGCTGCCCTCTGCTATCATACCTCAGAACTAGTAGTAAAGAAGGTTTCAGGTATGGTAAACTATGAATAATTGTGTATTTTTCTCTTCACTTTTGGAAGTTAATGTATGTGTCTGCAACTGTCATAAGACGTTGAAGGGCACAATGTTTAATAAATTTAGCATATTCATGACATGATTATAAAAGTGATAAATTGTAGTATTTCTCCCCCCCCCCAGTGTGTGTGTGTGTGTGTGTTTTCTTAGCTTAATTAAAGTTGAGCAGGTAGATCATCTGGAGAATGGCATCTAAATTTTCAATACAATACTTTCTTTTTTCATCCCGAGACTGCCTCCTTCCTGGGCCTTGCCTCATCCATCCTTTTCTTTTTCTTAATTTTCCTTAATTCCTTTCTTTTTCAACCACACATTAAATAGATTTCTTCTATGATTTCCATGGCCAATTTTCACTTCCATCTTAGGCATGATTAAAAATATTGTCTCAGTATGAATTGGGGAATCTTATCCAAACAGTAATGAGATTCTCTGTCTCTTTTTAAAATGTTCTTCTGTTGTTTTTTTCTCTTTTGTCTTGAACATTAGATGGAGAAAACAGTATAAAGGATGAGGGAAAAAAAATATGGCTGTATAGCTGTCTATTTTCCACTCTCCGTGCCCTTGGATGGCCTCCTTGTTTTGCTAACTGATATGCAATAATTTAGAGTGTTCAGAGAAATGCAAAGGTTTCTTCCAGCCTTGCAAGTTAACAGAAGTAAAAGATAACCAGGAGGCTTTGGGGACAACATTTGTATATTTCAGATGTCAAGTATTCGATATTTCAGGTAGCTACAGTAAATTGCTTCCCTTCATTTTTAGGATTGGATTGGACTAGTATTGCAGAATGTGTAGAATGGATGGAACCATTTTTCAAAGTAGCAAAAAAAATACCAGTGAAATTGAAAAATTTCAAGAAGATTGCAGTGGAAGATAGACATAACATACAAACCCATACAAACTATTTGGATATGTTGGTAAGAATGAATTTTCTCTTTAAATGTTTGGTCTTCCATTGGGATTATACTTTCTTGGAATTAAAAGAATGCTTCTTTATGTCTTTCCTACTTAATATAGTTACTGTATTTGCTAAAAATATGCATTTTCCTATGATTCTGAGATGACAAAAATCATACTTTCATCTAGCACAGGGGTCTTCAAACTTGGCCCTTTTATGACTTGTGGACTCCAACTCCCAGAATTCCTCAGACAGGCATACTGGATGAGGAATTCTGGGAGTTGAAGTCCACAAGTCATAAAAGGGCTAAGTTTGAAGACCCCTGATCTAGCATGATCTAGGTAAGGCCTAGAACATTGGGGTTAGGAGTACCTGGAATCTAAAGAATAGTAATTGAGCTAGCCATAAACAAAAAGGGTTGTCAGCAGAAAATGTTAGACCATACGGTCATCTGTGGAGATTTCCACCTTCAGTTCCAGCTGCTGACAAAGCATGCAATAATTTGGCTAGTGTTATGAATTCTAAACTATCTGCTGATTTAATGCCTAAATGAAGACTGAGATTAGTTAAATTTGACTACCATGATCTGAAATTATTCTTGCAAGGAATGATCATCAATAGGTAACATAAAAAAAACCCTTGAGGTATGTGAAAACTAGTGTAGTATTGTGGTGAAAGTGTTGGCCAAGATTCAGTGACACCCAGGTTAAAGTCCACCCTCAGCCCCAGGAGATCTCTCTCAGGGACTTTGAACCACCGCCTTTTGGCCCAACATACCTTGCAGGGTGATTACTTTACTTTTTCAAAGAGGTGACACATTGTAGCTAGGGAGATTTTTGCCCCTTTCATCACAATAATTTGTTCTTTTTATTGGGTAGGATGAAATTAACTATGAAGTAGCTGTACCCAGTCAGCTATCACCGGTATCTACGGGAGGAATAATAACCCCTCCAAAGAGCTCTGAAAAGTAAAAATCCTGTATGTGTGTGAAGACTGGGATCTTTGTTAAGACTGAATATACACACTGAGCTTTTACACTTGATATGGCTAAGAAGACTATCGGGATGCAACTGAAGGACATTCACACGCAGCTGGCCTGGATCTTTTACATTTGAAGCCCAATGAGGCCTAGAGAAATTGGATTTCTTCTGATTAACTAAATTCATAATTAACTATGGATTTTTAACTTAAAACTGTCTTAAGCAACTTTCATTTTTTTTTAACAGATGCAAATGAATTGGTCAAATTTAGTTATTTGTGAATTTAATAGACTGTTTCACCAATTGTCTATTGGTGTGTGCTGGTTTTGGATAGGATGAAACATTCTTTTGACCTGTGGTGATAAAACACTGAGTGAGGCAGTCTGAAACTAAGGACTCAAAGTGAGTCAGTTTTCAGCTTGCACATCAGTGCAGCCACAAAATAAAAGCCTTTATATTAATCTTTTTAACCTAAAGTTACTAAGCCAACATTCCTACTTCCATACACTTTATTAGTGTAGCTGTCAATGCAATGTCAAAGTTCTTTGAAGAGCTTCTTCTTTCGGAACCATGACAATAGCTAAGGAATGATACCAAATTGCCTTAATATAATAAAGCCTGAGTAGGGAATGAAAAGAAACTTTACTTTTGGAAGTAAAGCAGTTTAAGAATTTTCCACTTAAACTGGAACATCTTCAGTGAACAGCTGTCATATCCTACCTCTTTCCTTACAAAGCACTTCTACAAACTAGCTGTCTACAATGCAAGAAAAACAAAGACTGGATTGCAGTAAGGACAGCTTGAATGCAAAGAAGAGCTACACTCTGAATAGATCGTTCTTCATTACAACTTACATCTATTTTTTCACATGCAATAAGCAGCTAATCTAATTCTGTATACTTGTGCAAAAAATGAGGGATTTTATGTTTTATAAATAGGACAATACCACACAGTATGTTTATAAATATGTATTATAAAAAATTCTCATGTTAAATAAAGTGTTGAAATATCTTGCAACGAACACTTTTCTTCTTATATGGCAAAGGAAAATAAGTTTCTAAAAGTAAAGTTTTGCCATTGCTTGAAGAAACTTCTTTTTTCGTCTTTGAGCAGCAAGCTGTAGCACTTCTTCTGGGTTGCTAGAATTCAGTTCCGTCTGCCCAATAGCTTTAATCTATGTGTCCAAACAACAAAAAGCCATGTTAGTAATAAGTTCTTATTTACATTTAAAACAATTTTGTCAATCGGGGAAAAGGGTGATTTTTTTTTTAATGTAATGGTTTCACACATACACCACTGCAGTATCTTCTTAGAAATTCCTTTCAATATATGAAACTGTAAGAACTTACTGCTATCTGTTTCTTGTCTGTTTCGCCTCGCTTCTGATGAAGATCTGAAGCATCATTTAGGAAATTATAGTACAGAGTCATCTAAATTCTTAAGACGTAAGGTTATCTGTATAGCAGTTTAACATTCTTTATCTTAACTTTCCACTCTGTTATAAGAAACAGTTTCCTTGCACCTTCTGTGAGCCTAACTCTTCCTCATTGGCAAAATGAGCCAGGTCAAGGTCCTAATCTTTTAAAACATTGCTATTTTTAAATGAGAAAGGATTTCCTTATTTTGTGCTATTTCCCTGCTGCACTTCTTATAAATGCAGTTACTATTACCAATTTAAATAATAGCCAATTACTAAAGCCATTCTGGTTGCAAATCAATCCCATGTAGCTTTTTAAAATAAAAGGATACAAGTCAAGTATTCCAAGATAGTAATATCCCATATATAGTCGTAATAAGAATCCATAGCATCATGGCTGAAAAACAGGGCTTCAGTTATTTTATGCCATTAATGTATAGTTACACAGCAATTGAAAAAAATCTTGTTTACCTGTTTTGTTCTTGAAGTGCTTTAAATGCAGTTTTATAATCTACCTCTCGAAGGAACTGGCACAAAATTGCCACCTGGAAGAACAAAGATTTGCTAATATATATCTTGTCATGAGGTTATTATGTCACGATTATACAATAATTAACACTACATTCTAGATGAGTGCATCTTTTTGCTTGCTTTTTGGGTAGAATTGCTTTTTGCTTGCTTTTTGGGTAGAATTGCCCTCTTCACAGTTTTCCCAGTTAATAGATGGATACATATTCTTTACCTGTGTATGGCAATTGAGCAGAGAACAGCATTTTATCATTCGTTTAATCACCTACAGAGAAATATGCAAATTAAAGAAAATCTACAATTTATCCATTTACCTGATATAGCTACCTATATGAAATACAATTAATACAAGTCATATCGCTTAACATTTGTTTTCTGCTTCACTATTAATAGCATAAGCAAAAACAAACTCTTAGAGACCAAATACTTCTCCTAATGTTCCACTCACTTCACTTGTTATAAATTGTTCCATTATTATCTAGGCTTCTATTTTGGTTAGAATTACTGTAGATAGAGTGAAGGGAAAAATTATTTGATCCCCTGCTGATTTTGTACGTTTGCCCACTGACAAAGAAATGATCAGTCTAATTTTAATGGTAGGTTTATTTTAACAGTGAGAGACAGAATAACAACTACCATTAAAATTATAGACTGATTATTTCTTTGTCAGTTGGCAAACGTACAAAATCAGCAGGGGATACAATAATTTTTTCCCTCACTGTAGTTGGCTTCTGGAACTGCTAAAAGCCTTGAAGGATCCTCTGCATCACATCTGAAACGACAGCTTAATATTGCTGGGACTAAAAGGCTCAAGATGACAGAAAGATACACTGTACAGCGCCAGGTTGCTAAATATTAAGCCTTCTAATTAATTTCCAATATTTGCTGAGTTTATTATGGAATATTAGAAATCAAAGCCTGGAATACATTCAAGTGTATGTTGAACATTCCTAGAACAGGTATTTCTCTGCAGCTCAGATTAACCCCAGAGGGGAAAGGACCTATCTGCCCCAGCATGAAATAGCCAACAGACAATGGGCAGCTCTTGTTCTCCCATCGATCACCTGATTGTGCTACCAACAGGCACCAAAGTAGGTCAGATTTCATGCATCCTGAACCTGGCCGGTTGCTCTCAAGTAAGGTGAAACTATTATAGCACCAATACAACTAAGGTGATTTAAGGATGTCTTATACATGGGCTGGAAGTGAAATAAAGATGGGAAGAACTATGGTGGAAGGGAAGTGTTCATACTGTAATTTTGGTATACATGGGGAAAAGCCATTGAATGACCAATTTCAAATAATCAATGCACTTTACTCTAAGTTCATAGCAGTAGGATAGATGATAAAAAAATGTCAGATAAAATGAGTTCAAAATGCCCATGTTTAGAATGCTGAACTTTAATCAATGGGTCCACTTTAATACTAAGCTTGTATTATAGAGCAGCCCAGATCATCAGAGACCTCTATACATCTATATATTCCTTATATACTGCTACATAATCTTATCACTCACCTGATCAGTGTATACATCAGGCGGCACCATCTTAGTAAAGAAATCTGAGCACACGGCGCCTGCCTGAAGATAGTAGTGAAGTGCAGCAGAGTATTGATTAGTTGCTATATTGGAGATAGAGAAGCAAAGACAGTTAATGATGTCATCTAGTGGCCATATTCACGTGTAACCCGAAGTTAGCATTTTTAAAATCAAGATTCGTTAAATAATCCACAACGACCCGATTCATGCATAATCATATGGCTCATCATGTTAACCCCAAGATGTATCACATAACAGCTTAACATTTGTTGTGAATTAGGCCAGTTTTTTCCAAGTTAATCTGAATATTATACTGTACTCTCTGCAAATACTGTCTGAATAGGATGGACAAATTAAGGTAAAATATCCTGACAAAAGACAAAAAGAAATAAAGTTTTCAGTCCCGACCTCAAAGTGACACTGTCCTTGCACCAAAACGTTGTGGCACCTACCCTTCGGAACATCATCTCCCCAGGATTAGATTGGCCCAATCCTGCCAGCCTTTCAGGAGGGGCTGAAAATGTGGTTGGGTTTCCAGGAATGGAGACTGGATTGCCAGTTAGAGTCTGTGAAATGTTTATTTTAACTGTTGCCTGGCTGGGTTTTTTTTTACTTTGGCTGCTGATTGTATACTTTATTTTGTTGTTGCTTTTAAGATATTGTTAGCCACCCAGAGTCACTACAATGAGAGGACCAGGCATATATGTAAATGGACAGAAACAGGTTTAACTCTACTTACCAAAATAAATATCTGCCTGAGTGATTAACCAGAAATGATTGTTTGAATTTATAGTGAGTGCATAGTTGACTAGCTCTTTGACAGTGACAGCCACTGCTTCAAAATCTACTGACTGAAAACTGAAATGAGAAAACATAATTATTAGTAATTGTATTTAAAACTATGATGTAGTTAAAATCTGCTTCAATGAAAGTATTATTTAAATAATTCTATGTACTTTTCCATATCCTATTAAGTGATGTTACACATAAAGGACAGAGTTGTAGACAAACGGCTGCACCTCCATTACTACATACATAACTTCCTTTTCTGCTTTCTGTTGGTTATAGGAATAAGTATGATTGCAATCTAAATTTATCTATGAGGGCCCCACCGAGATAGAAAAAGTTTCTGTTAATCTTAAATGATCTATTTTATCAAAGAAATTGCTTACTCTCCTTATCAAAATCACAACCAATATTATGGAGCCCCTTCTACCTGTTCAGATTCAGCTATATACCCATTGCAAACTTTTCATTCTCATTCTCTCATTGGGAGTATACACGTCAACAGCCATTTTGCTGTTACATGGAATTCAAATTTAAGAGAGCTTCTCTATGAAGTCCTTGACTTTCACTTATGTTCCAGTCTTCTGCATTACATGAAGTGCCACGGAAACCAAGAGATTCAAGCAGTTCAAATAAGTATAAAGATTGCAAGCTTAAGATCTCTACAAAAATCTGACCTACTAAAAGTCAAGGGAAATGAGCAGGAATAAGAGAGCATTCAAGGTAGGCTGGACTTAAGATCTTTTGCTGGCATGCAGGGAGTGATGACTTATGATGCATTTGGCCCCTCCCTCGGGCTCAGCCTGGTCATCTACACATTATGGCTTAAATCATCTCCTACACATTATGGCTTAAATCAGTCCAGGAGAAGATATTTCCTGTTGTCCATGCTTTTTAACTTCTCTGCTTGCTACTGTTAATTATTTAATTCCAAACATCCTTAACCTGATCTAAGATTTAAACTTTGCTCTACCACCCGTAAGAACTTATTAATATCTTATGTTCACAAAAAATGTACCGTATTTTCCGGCGTATAAGACGACTTTCTAAACCCTGAAAACCTTCTCAAAAGTCGGGGGTCGTCTTATACGCCCAGTCGTCTTATATGCCGGAAAATACGGGTATTCTATTTTATTCCTTTACACATGTGGTTTGGCATATTACTCATCAAGTTTTCTCTCCCCCCCTCTCTCTCGCT